AAAACAAGGAAAATCAAAAACACGTGTGTGCATAGAGCCTCAGTTAATGAGATCCCCCATTCGAATCCCATTAGCAACAAAAACAAGGTATTTTTTGTGGTTACTATAAAAACCATTCTCCTCTTTCTTTTCTCTTTTTTCGTCACTCTTCCCTCTCCACTCTCTCTCTCTCTCTCTCTCTCTTAGAAACCCAGATGAAGACGAAGATCGAATCCATGAAGCCTAGGTGAAGACGAAGATTGAACTAGGAAATCCTCTTTTTTCATCACTTTGAAATCCTCTTTTTTTGTTTGTGTGTGTGTGATTTATGTGTTTGTGTGATTTCAGTGTGTGTGCGCGTGATTTCTGTGTGATTTTAGTGTGTGTGATTTCTATGTGTGTATGTGTGCGATTTTAGCGTGTGTGTGATTTCTGTGTGCGTGTATGTGTGTGAGAGTGAGTGGGTTATCTTGGCACCCTAAAGACTCCCAAACATATTTTCCATTTTTGGTGTTTAGCACAAAACAAAACAAAAATTATCTCTATTTTATTTGTTTTTTGAAAATACGAAAACAAAAATGTTACCAATTGCACCCTTACTTTTTATATGTTCAAAATTTTTATCCTAAAAATTGAATGTATATGCGTGTCGTGGGGTAGGGTGAAGGGGGGTTAGTCAACTTTTGTAGGAGGTCTACATATTGGCCATTTTGAAAGAAGGTCTACAACTTTTGTAGTTAGTAAAAAGAAAAGAAAAGGTGTAAGCGAATTTTTGCCTATTTCTACATATTTTTTGTGAATATATCCAAAAGAAATTCTTATTCATTTTATGCAATGGATATATGCATTGTGAATTCTTGTCAGTGTGTGTGTGTGCATTTCCTATTTATATACGTTATTTGTTATTTAATATTGTCTTCTTATATCAAATCTAACCTCGGAAATGCACCTTCTTATAGTTTTGGTTAAAAATACCTTACCTACTTGACATTTAAAATTTTCACATTACCTCCTTATAGTTATGTACCAAAGTGAAGTAATTGACGTCGTTAACGAAATTATTAAATTATCATAATACCATGTTATAAAATCAAACTTTTCGTCTACTTTACTCTTACTCATATAATTGATGAAAATTATTACTAAGATCATCTCCAATGGAAACATAAACCATTACCCAAATTTGTGTAAGGAAAAATGATAAAACGTTTGATTTGATATGTACTTCTCCAATGGAGAAACTCAATTTTAAAGGAAGAGAAAATTAAATTTAAATGAAGGTAAAATATGACCATTGGATTTTTAAAAGATGATAAAATCTCACCATTAAATATTTGAATAGAGATTTGAGTCTCCCTTCATTTGAGTAAAAAAATGGATCACCTTTTATTTAAATATGAGTATGAGTCTAGCATTTGAGAAGATTTTTATGAGTTTTTTTACCCGAATTTAAAAAATGATAAGGATTGGAGATTCTATAAGACAATCTCCAATAAAAACCTAATCTCTTACTCAAATTTAAGTAACAAAAATAATAAAAAGCTTGATTTGATATAAACCTCTCCAATGGAGAAGTCCAAATTTAAATGAAGAGAAACTCAAATTTAAAAGAAGATAAAATATGACCATTAAATCTTTAAAGAATGATGTAATTTTATCATTAAATATTTGAGTTTAAAAAAAGGTCTCCCTTAATTTGGGTTTAAAAAATAGTTTCTCTTCATTTAGTGTGAGAATAGGTCTAACAATGAAAAATGTTTTTAGACAATTTTTATCCAAATATAAATTTGGGTACAAAAAAAGTTTAAGGTTGAAAATACCCTACGACTGTGGTAGAAATGTTACACTCTTCAACATCCCGAGTCTAGTTCTCTTTAAAACAAATTGATGTATACAAGAATTAAAAGCTTACTCTCTTTTTTACCGTAGTTAAATATAAGTGAGTGATTAACATAAAAATATAAATATCTATATAATAAAGAATAATATAATTCAAATCTAAAAAAAAAATAAAATGACTTTTCCTTTTCGCGGTTGAGATCTCTTTAAATTTTACTTTAAAATTAATCCGACAGCTAATATTAACATCCCAAATTTAATAGAGAAAATAGACCCCTAAGGGTATGTTTGGAATGACTCTTTAAAAGTGTTTATAAAACTTATAACTTCTCATTAATATTTTTTATTTAAAAAAGTAAATAGTGTTTCAAGCTACCCACCATCATCACTACCACCACCATTACCCTAACACCATCACCACTACCCACCACCATCGCTGCCACCCCACCATAATCGTCGCCACCAACATCATCGCCACCGCCACCACCAATGTCGCCACACCACCACCACCACCCCACCCATGGCCTCACCACCATTATCACCACTACCAACACCTCCACCGCCCCCAACACCACCACCACCCACCACCACCACCTTTGCCACCATCCCACCACCACTTCTGCCACAACAACAACTGCCCCCTAGCATCGCCACCGCTAATGCCAATCCACCACCCCTTCTCGCCCCCACCACCACCATCCCCACTACCCACACCACCACCCTACAACCACAGTCACTGCCCTACCATCATCTCTATCACCATTACTCCTATCGCCTCACGACCACCCCAACGACCATCACCCCTACCACCGTCATTGTTACCGTCATCAACTCACCACCGCCACTACCACTGCTCTCTTCTATTGCAATCAGTGCTTAAATTCTTTTCTCTCTCCTCTATGTTTATGATTTGATTTTAAGTGTGAATACAAATATTTTAGGAGAATTACACCCAGACCCTCCTGAGGTTTGTCACTTAATCACTCAGACCCCTGACATTTGAAATATTACACATAGTCCTCATGAGATTTGTACGCGCATAACACTTAGACCCCTATCGTAAATGTCTGTTAGTATATCAATTAGTAAATTATATCTAAACTCCTTAAAGTTTATAGACGTGTAATATTTAGAACCCTTAAGTTTAAAATGTTATACATAAACTAAAAATATTTCAATCAGAGATAAAATATTAAATACTAGTCATAACCTGTGTCTAAAAATAAGATAAAATATAAAATTCTAGCGTTAATAAATTGATCCCACTATACCAAATTTAAAATTAATATTTTGGCTTACATCATTTAAATTAATTTCTACCTTTTTGTTTAAAATAGCGTCAAAATTTTCTCAAAATGCATAACTCAATGAATTTTTTTTAACATGTGTACACTATCGTATATGAATAATATATGAAATAAAAATTGTGTTAAACTATAAATAAACTAAATATTAAATGATTGAACATATGATAGAATTGTGTGATATGATATTTTTTGGGGAAAAAATATATAGGGGATAAAGATTTAATTTGTTAGCTGATTTATTATATACATTTTAAATTTTACAACCAAAATTTATATTCTATTATGATATTTATTAAAATAAAAATAAAATAAAATTTATGTTTTTATTAAAAAATCATAATTAGTATACAATTATGCTATATATTAAAATTTAATTTGGTCATTTAAAGTTTAAATGACCAAATTAAACTATAAAATTATCCCAATTAAAATTAAAATATATTATTTCTATTACAGTTTGATTTTTTTTTTTAATTTTTTAATTTATTCCAATAGACAATATAATTGTATACTAATTATAATTTTTTAAGAAAAAATAAAATTTTATTTTAGATTTTATTTTAATAAATGATATAATTGAACAACTAAAATTTATATTCTATTATGGATAACTTAAACCCCTTGTTTATTTTTTAGTTTTATTACAATATATAGTATAATTGTATACTAAATATAATTTTTTAAGAAAAAATTAATTTTTGATTTTTGATTNATAACTTAAACCCCTTGTTTATTTTTTAGTTTTATTACAATATATAGTATAATTGTATACTAAATATAATTTTTTAAGAAAAAATTAATTTTTGATTTTTGATTTTATTTTAATAAATGATATAATATAACATGAATTTTGATTTTAAAATTTAAAATACTCAATATTCTATCTTTGATTAGAATATTTGTGGTTTTACTATAATATTTTAAACTTGATGAGTTTAACTATCATATGCCTACNTTTTTGATTTTTGATTTTATTTTAATAAATGATATAATATAACATGAATTTTGATTTTAAAATTTAAAATATTCAATATTCTATCTTTGATTAGAATATTTGTGGTTTTACTATAATATTTTAAACTTGATGAGTTTAAGTATCATATGCCTATAAATTTTAAAGGGTTTGAGTGTAATTTATTAACAGATATTGACGACAGAAATTTAAGTGTTATGCGCATATAAACTTTAGGAGGTCTGTATGTAATATTTTAAATGTCAAGGGACTTGAGTAATTAAATAACAAACTTCCGAGGATCTGAATATAATTCTCTCCCTCTTTTTTTTTTTTANTTAAGTGTTATGCGCATATAAACTTTAGGAGGTCTGTATGTAATATTTTAAATGTCAGGGGACCTGAGTAATTAAATAACAAACTTCAGAGGATCTGAATATAATTCTCTCCCTCTTTTTTTTTTATGAAAAACACAGATAATGACCGGTAATTATACAATATTAAACCTATTAATTGCTAAAATTCATATAATTGACAGTGAACACAATTTTTGGTAATTCAAAAACAAAAGCAGCATGAGTCGCATGCTTTCCTTCTTTCTCTCTCATAATTCTTTCATTTGCTTGGTTCATAATTCATTGACGTTCATAAAAACGCATCCTTCCTCTCTCTGTCTCTCATATTTTTCGTTCACTTCCATTTCCTCTTTCCTAAAAAATCCAAGAAGCTAATACACACATCTANTGCTTTCCTTCTTTCTCTCTCATAATTCTTTCATTTGCTTGGTTCATAATTCATTGATGTTCATAAAAACGCATCCTTCCTCTCTCTGTCTCTCATATTTTTCGTACACTTCCATTTCCTCTTTCCTAAAAAATCCAAGAAGCTAATACACACATCTAGACTCCAGAGCTCGAATAGCCATGGATCTCCCACCTGAAGAGCTTCAATTCCTTACCCTGTCAGACATCCTCAAAGAATCAGTGTCAATCCCCAAACTGTCCCCCAAGACTTTCTACCTCATTACCCTAACCCTAGTCTTCCCTCTCTCCTTTGCCATCCTTGCCCATTCTCTCTTCACCCATCCACTACTCACTCAAATCCAGAACCCAATTGGATCTCACACATCCCAATGGACCAAGCTCCTCATCTTCCAGTTCTGCTACCTCATCTTCCTCTTTGCTTTCTCTCTCCTCTCCACTGCTGCTGTTGTCTTCACTGTTGCCTCTCTCTACACCTCCAAACCGGTCTCTTTTTCCTCCACTATTTCAGCTATTCCCAACGTTTTCAAGCGCCTTTTCATCACCTTCATCTGGGTCTCTCTCTCCATGGTGGCTTACAACGTTGTGTTTCTTGGTTTTCTTGTTCTCCTCGTTGTGGCCATTGATACCCAGAACGCGGCTCTGTTTCTTTTTTCTGTGGTGGTTGTCTTTCTTCTCTTTCTTGTTGTGCATGTCTATTTCAGTGCATTGTGGCATTTGGCTAGTGTGGTTTCCGTGCTTGAACCCATTTACGGGTTTTCTGCTATGAAGAAGAGCTATGAGTTGCTGAAGGGGAGGACCAAGATGGCGTTTGTGCTTGTTTTCGGATACTTATCCATTTGTGGGGTAATTAATGGGCTTTTTGGGTCCATTGTAGTTCATGGTGGGGAGTATTATGGAGTGTTTACGAGGATTGTGGTTGGTGGGTTCTTGGTAGGGTTGTTGGTGATTGTGAATTTGGTGGGGTTGATGGTGCAGAGTGTGTTTTACTATGTTTGCAAGAGCTTTCACCATCAGGGAATTGATAAGAGTGCTCTGTATGATCATCTTGGTGGATATCTGGGGGAGTATGTGCCTCTCAAAAGCAGCATTCAGATGGAGAACTTGGAAGTTTGAGACTATGGTGAGACATGTTTTCTGTACTTTCTTGTGGTTTATGCAGTGATGTGATGTTTAAGGGAAAACTTGTATAAGTTCTTTTGTAATTTGGTACTTATATTTGTTTTTGTGGGAGAATAAATGAGGAACTCCTTGATTTTTAGTTATTGGAATTCGCTCAGTAGACTTGGTTATAGTTTTCTGTTGTGAGTTTGGCCTGTTTTTTTTTAGTTTAAGTTTTGCATACTTATGGGGTTGTTTTGGTGGGAATTGTCAGTAGACTACGACCTGTTGTGTTTTTTGGTTTGTCAATTGGAGCTTATCAGTATAAAAAAAATCAATTCAGACAGTCCTTATTGGAATAAAGTGTTCAATCTAGGTCCTGTGGAATCTATGCCTCCATTTGTTTCCATGGAATATGTGATATGGTTTTCTTGTTGCAAAAATACCTAAATGAACTGTTCTTAAGGTTCAGAAATTACAAATTTCTAAATGTATGCATAATGGAAAACAAATCACCGTTCATTCTTTATCTTGTCTTGTTCTAAACATGGCATCTTCTGCAAACCTAGTTTGACAAAACCAAAAAGCATTAGAGAAGGCATCAGCGGTATTACTTCTTCTGAAGTTAAGCTTTAGCCATGAAAAAGAGTAACCCTTTTGATTTTTCTTCTTCCAAAAGTATAAGTAATTTTATGAATAATTAGTGCGTTTATGGGACACACCTAAAAATACAAATTATAAACTTCTTGGCCATGTCACATTACTTCTTTTAAATTGAAGCTTTCTTTCATAAGATTGTGAACTGAAACTTTAGCCTTGAAAAAGAGGCCTTTTGATTTTTCATCTTCCACAAAATAACTCTCATAAATTATTCAAAATAACTATCAGAAATTATATATTTATAAGATATTCAATCGTAGATCATACACAAAAAGGATAGACATTTAGCGATCTAAAGTGCGTACTAGCACTTATGATTGAGATAGAATATTCTTAACATTGTTTTTGTTGATTAATTAAGCATGTGATAAAAACAGTTAGAACATATCAATCTAGGAACATGGAAAAGAATAGCTGAAGATAAAGAAAATTCAAATAAGTGTTAACAGATATGTTATAATTTAATTTTAAAATTAAGGAGAATAGAAGAAAAGGCTAGTCAGGTGTGCAGGCCTCCTGAACCAAGGCATAAGAAGCACAGAAGACACACCATTCATTACTTATGGGCTCATTGGGTATATCACATATGCACGATGAGATGTTTCACTTAAGTTTTTGAGCTCAAAACTGTTTGCTATTACTTGCTACGAGATGGAGAATGCTTTGTAGTTGCCGATTGGATGGTCAATTGTTCATGCTACTTGGGTACTTCAGTGGTGTAGAAGTATCTGTTTTGTTGTGTCATAATGCATAGATATTGGAATCAGCTCTTATCTAACCGTATTAAAATGGTGGCAACAGAGTGTATTCTTGTTGTGTTGAAGTGATGCATTCATCTGTTGTCTCATAAAAAATATTCTATTTTTTTGATAAGTAAAAATTATTCTCTTTGCTCATTAGAAAACCATAAAATATTGTTTTATAGTATGCAAAGCACACACAATTCATAGGCTGATTATTGTAGCTTATTCCCAGTTAATATCTTGACATCGGAGAAACTAAACCAAAAATTCTACTGCACTGGACACCCACATGAAGCCATTTGTTTGGGCACATTCACTCTGGTGGTGCGATCTTTTTTTTCCCCCAAAACAGCGATTAGACATTGGGGACCTTCCCAAATGAGTTTCATTTGCATCTTTTCTTCTCATTGTTTCCTTTATGCATTCTTACTTCCTTTGATGTTGGCTGATCAAAATAATTCAGTATTGGTCTTGCTAAATCGGACATTTAAATGAACATTTTAGAACCGTATTTAATAATCTACACATGGAGAATGGGGGCAGTTCTTTGAATGTTGTTGAGTGATATAGTGAGCAGCACCTTGATTGGTATGGACTCCTATGGAGTGATCTAGTGGGTGGTCTAAATTAGGGGCATTTATCTGTCGACCGTGCTCAATTTGGAATCAAAGCATGGTTCTTAGTTTCATTGTTTTCACTTTTTTGATGACTTTCATGTGTCCCAGTTTTGTGGGTGCATGTTTTTCATGAATCCACGCCAAGATTACATTCTAACATAGACCACTCTTGCCATTTCACCAACTGGAAGATCAAACTTGGAGTCTAAAAGTGGGTTATCGTTTGCCTGGTCATTAGAAAGGAAATCAAGGAAATAGATTGTTGTTTATGGATATTATCATTGTTGCTTGTTTTGATGAAAAGTATGATTTTTTAAATTTGGCATTTTGGTTTCTTCTGTATAATTTTTTTTCCCCACAAATATGAGTACTTTTTACATCGAATTGTTGGGGCTGCTCATTTTTTTCTTTTCATGATAAGTTATACTGAGATGTTGTTTGATGATAGGAACACACCTTTCAAATTATTTCTATTGCTTTGGTGCATTGCTATATATGAACTGGGAGTAGGGTCTCTTCATTTTTTTGTTACCGATAGCTATTCCATTGTAGCAATGTAAAATTTTCACATGCAGAGTCTAATTTATAAAGACTACAGGAGATATAGTGTATTTTAAATGGCAAAAAGCATTTAGCTCAACTTTTTAGGTCTAAAACTAGGTAAAAATGAAATAATACAACTTTGCCTGATATATTTAATTTAGAAAGTAAGAGCTAGGTACCAATTTTTACCTTTGTTATATATATATATTTCAAGGAGAATGAAAGATTGCTAGTTGTTTTATCGTGTACTCAGCCATAATGCCATAAATTATATTTGAGAATTACTTCAAGAAAATGCAGGTACGACGTTATGGTGAAAAATCAGGAGAACAATTAGAAAATTTGTTGCATTGGGGTGGCTGGTTCCTTTTCTAGCATACACTTTAAGAGGTATTATGGGCTATGATATTATTGTCAAGTTTTTATGTAAATTTCAGCTGATAGCATTAGAACAATTGTGTGATCTCATTTTGTTTATCCCTTTCCCTGTCCATTTCTCTTTCTTAAATCATGCACTTCTTCTGTTTTATACTTAAAATATGTCATTCAATCAATATTACCACGAGGGGTCGTGTCTTGTGTGTTAACTAACTTCAACTTTCATCATATCAGATATTCTTGTACTGAATATCCTGTAAATCTTTTCCTTCTCTGTAGCTACAGAAACATGGATCTAGGCTCTTCACCATTTTTAATTGACTTTTCCTAGTCTTTTTATTTTTGTTTCCAAAAAATGTTAGTTTTAAACTCCAGGTTAAGTGTTCCCGTTCTAATCCACCACTGATATGTATGTAATCAGATTTTGTGATGGAAAAGTTTTAAACTAAACAACATTTTTAGTTGTGAAATGAGATGCGTGTTGAACCTTTATTTCCATGTTTTACTTGTGCCTTACATATATTTCTTTCTACATCCCATGGTTCAAATTCTTTTTTGATTTAAGCTGTTCTCATTCCCCCTCCCACTTTTTCAGCCTTATCCCAAGCTCCGAGTGCTTTGTGGGAGAGGTAATGGTTCCAAGTTCATATGTGTTCTTTTGGAGAGAGTTAATCTTGTAAAGAGAGCTTGTATCTCATATCAAATAATTAGGACCACCCAATTTTGGTTTATACGCATTAGAGGCTACTCCACTCGTGGCCAATGGGGTTTGGGTTGGATGTTTTAACATGGTATCAGAGGTAGGCCTTGAATGGATAGTGGGTCAAGTCTCTTACCTATTTTGATTTTCATGTATGCATGGTTGGTTTGTTTGTTAGCCCCACGTGCGAGCTTGGATCTCAGGTGAAGGAGGGTGTAAAAAGAGCTTGTATCTCACATCGAATAGTTAGGACCAGTGTTTTGAAAAGCTCGCCTAGGCGCTCGCCTAGGCGAGAAGCGAGGCGAGGCGAGCTTATCTCGCCTGGAGGACCCCAGGCGAAGCGAACGTGAGCGAAGCGAGAAAAAAGCGAGAAAAAGCGAAAAAGCGAACGCTTTATTATAAAAAGCGATTCTGCTTAACTTTTTTTTTTTTTTTTTCTGATTACAGGTTAGTAGTCTCTTTTATTTTTTAATCACTATGACTTTTTTTTTAGATTATTGCTGGTCTATTTTTTTTTTCTAATAAACAATGTTTCGAATAAAACNCTCATTCTGCTTCTATTTTTTTTTTGTTGATTCTGTTGCTGCTTCGATTTTGCTGTCCTGTGTTGCTTTTGTTTTTTTTTAATTGTCATTCTGCTTCTTTTTTGTTTTTGTTGCTAATTCTGCTGTTGTCCTGATTCTGCTTCTTTTGTTGTCCTACCCTGTCAATATGAAAATGTATACAATTGTTAGTATTTGTTTGAATTTAAATGTTTAAATTATGACTGTTATTAAGATTTGAGATATTATTAGTGTTTTTTTTAATTTAAATGTTTATGGTTTTACTTGCATTTAAATATTTAGTATATATAAAATTAAAACTTAGATTGTTTAGAAGTAATTAAACTAAAATATATATTTTTTTTAACTGTTCGCTTTGCTTCGGTAAAGCGTGTCGCTTCGCTTCTCGCTTCTCGCCTAGGCGTTAGGAGCTTTGGTCGCTTCGGTTCGCTTTACGCCTTAAATAACACTGGTTAGGACCACCCATGGTTGACTTATATACTTGATTTGTTACTCCAGTCATAGTTAATTGGTTTTAGGTTAGATGTTTTAATTAAACTATGGCCTATTGTTATATTTGAGGAGCCCAACGCTGACCAGGCCCAAAATTATCAACTAGGTCTAAAATCATAGACCAGGCCTAGATCAGAGGCTCAGTTTAGAAATGCAAGCCAGACCCACCACAGGGAGGAGGAAGCTAGGTCAATCGAGCCATCTTGAGAGAGAGTTAGGTCAGTCGCCTTATGGCGAGAGACTCGGTCAATAACTGACAGACGAATAGATCTCTTTGAAATGTGCACGTCATCATCTCCACGGGATTGTCTCACTTGTT